CTCATTTTATTTAGTTAGCATTATATGTATATATTCATTTATTCTTGCCCTTACACCTCCAGTTATTTTGCCTTTACTTCTTTGTTCATTTTCACCTTCCACCTTTCCACATTTATTGCCAGGTGCCGTTTCAGGGGCCAGGAATAAAGCAGTTAAAAAAAATACTGAAAAAAAAATTTCTGCCTTCATGGGGTGGCCTTAACTTTCAGGAAGCAGACATCTAAGAAACAAGAAACCAAACAGGAGGAAAGGGAGTTACAGATTGTGATGAGTGCTGTGGTGGACCTATTCAGAAGGAGTGGTCAGTAAGCTCCTTGGAGAAGGGGATATTGTGTTGGTCCTAACAAGAGAGACAGGCCATTTGACTATTAGGGAGAAAGATATTCTAGACAGATGGAGAAAAAGCCTTGAGGTGAGAAGAGCTTCACGTGGAGCCTCGTGCACTTGCTTATTTTTTTAACTATTTCAGTCAACAAGATACTAGTTCCAGAGCACACTTTGATTAGATGTTCCCTCTCTGTGTGTACAGAACTCACATAGCAGGATCCTGAGGAGCAGGATGCCTTTCTTTGTTGTAACACTTAGCCAATTGCAACACAAGATCAGACAGATTTGCTCCAGGGCCTGGCCTGTTTCCTCATCTCTACAAGGAGGTAACAATAGGTAACTGATTCCCAGGCCTCCTACACAGCCTGTTCCCCTCAGGGGTGAGAACAGTATCAAAGCTTGGACCATTTGGCCTAGCAGCTAGGACACCTGCATCTCGCCAGTAAGTGCTTGGGTTCCATACCCAGGCTCCAGCCTCCTGCTAATGCAGACCCTGGGAAGCAGTGGTGATGGCTCAAGTCCTTCAATATCACCCACGTGGGAGACCTCGATTGAGTTATTAGATCTTGGCTTTTGCTTGGATAAGTCTGGCTGTTGCTGGCAACTGGGGAGTAGGAGTTCTGTCAAGTTAATGTATGCATTTATATCATCCTTGATGTTTTTTATGCCTATTTCCAAGAGCATAACTAGACGTTCTTGCATATCAAAACCTAGAATTGAGGTTCCTATCCTTTCCCCTATTTGAAACCTAGGAGGTTCCAGAACTCAGTCTCACTTTAGAGGAATGGGGGAACAGGGGAGAAAGAGAAAGGTGAGAGGTCATCCAGAGAGTTGGGGCAGGCTTCTTCATCTATAAGTCCAGGGGAAGAGTTTCTGAAGCATGGAAGCACATGGGTGGGAATGGGCTGTTGAGAGAGCAAAAAAATGAAGAAAATGATGTGGGAACTATGAGGGAGGGAGGAGATGTAGCGAGTGGGAACTGGTTTTCCCTCTTAATAATTCCCTATGGAAGAGGAATTCTTCCCTGGGCTATAGAAGGAGGCAGTTTCAGGTTTCTTTTCATTCTTCCACCGACCCCCTCCACTCCACAGCATACCCCAGGCTGGCAGATGGACACTTGATCTGCCAATGTCACTTATTTCCCCTCCCAGTGCCCTGCCCCCCACTGAAATCCTAGAAATTCAGCGTGTTCTGATATGTTGTTCTAGAGAAGATCTCCCATTGCACAACTTCTGAATTCTCGTGACAGTGCTGGGTTTTTAAAAAAAAAAAAAATGACTGGGAGGGGCAGATGTTTGTCACAGTAGTTGAGATGTGTCTACACTTCATGTCAAAGGTTTGGGACCCAGTCCTACTTGCTTGGGTTCCTGCCACCCACTTGGGAAACCTGGATGGAGTTCTGGACTGCTGACCTTGGCCTAACACAGCACTTGTGGGCATTTACGGAATGAATCAGCAACTGGAAGAGCATACCCACTCATACTCTGGTTTCTCTTCAGAACAAATAAATCTTCCACTTTTTACTGAAAAAAAAAAAAAAGACTGATTATGAACAATTTGCCTGATCCCTCGGGGCCTCCGTTTCCTCAGTCCTTAAAATGGTGATAAAAAGATGTTTCTCATATGGGACTTAACTGGAAATTAAAGTAGGTGATTCTGCAAAGTATCAGGCTCCTTGCCGGCTTCTAGAAATGTCAGGTGCTATTTTCATTGTTGTCAGTGTTACTGCTGGATTTCACTGATCCTGAGTCATCATAGACTACAAAATGCACCATTATTTTATGTATTACTAAGAAAGACCAAAAAGTGCTGCCATTTCAATTCTGACTCACCAGTACAGTCATGCATCACTTAATGACAGGGGCCATGTTCTGAGAAATGCATTATTAGGTGATTTTCTTGTTGCGTGAACATCAGAGTACACTCACTCAAACCAAGACTGGTACAATGTCATCAGGTGACCCCATCTCATAGGACCACTGTACTTGTAAGATGCAGGCTGATTTCCATTGCTAACTGTCCCAGAAGCCCTGACTGATGATGATTGATGATGTTCTAGAACCTGCATTCTGGCTGTACAGGTATATTAACTTGTGAAAATTCATCACACCAGGCTTCTATGGTCTGTACACTTTTCCATTATGTGTGCTACACTCCAGTATGAGGTTGACATGAAAACAGTCCAAATCTGTGCTGCTTGCAATGAAGGAAACTTGTTTTGGTCTGAACTTCGTGCAGAGCATTACTAAATTAATGCTAAACAGGTGTGATGGCTCATTTGGTTAATCCTCCCTTTTGCAAGCACCAGCATCCCATATGGGAACCGGTTTGTATCCTGACTGCTCCACTTCCTTTCCAGCTTCTTGCATGCAGCCTGGGAAAGCAGTCGAGGACGGCCCAAAGACTTGGGTCCCTGCACCTGCATGGGAGACCCGGAAGAAGCTCCTGGCTTCAGATTGGCTCAGCACCAACCATTTCAATCATTTGGAAAGAGAACCAGCGATAGAAAATCTTTCTGTCTTTCCTTCTCTGTAGATCTGCCTTTCCAATAAAAATAAATAAATGTTTAAAGATTTTGGGCTGCTTTCCCAGGCTATAAGCAGGGAGCTGGATCGAAGGTGGAGCAGCCAGGATATAAACAAGTTCAACTACTGAGCCATTGCGCTGGGCCCCAAAACAAGTAAATATTTTAAAAAGAAAAGATTAATGCTAAGCAAATAGACAGATGCCTGGAAATGGGACGCAGTAACAACAGGACAATTTCTTCCTTTGGAGGGCTCTTTTCTTAAAAAGGTGCTAATCCAGAATAATTCATTTCCAGATGAGTGGGAAATGGTCCCCTCAAAATCGTTCACCAGAGGCAGTGCACATGAAGAAATAGCCTGTGGTCACACACTTCAGTAAATGCTGGAGCCGAGTCGTCAAGCTGCTATAGCTCCAGGACCGAAGCCCTTATCCACTACCTGACAGGAGCCATGGGCTCGTGCAGCTTCTCACCAAGTCCAGAGGGCCAGTGGGCAGGTCTGAAATCTTTAGTTGAATCTCGGGAGTGGGAAGTCCCAGCCCGTGCCCCAGCAGACTGGGGAGCGTGTGAGAACCAGCATCTGTACTCTGTCCTAGAAAGAATAGGGAGCTTGTGATCTGCTGAAGTGGGACTTGTGCCCTCAACTATTCCACTCATGGCAGAAAAGGTAGACTGTCAGACTGACCAGCACTTTCTCCAATCAGCTCGCAGCTGGTAGTTGGGATGTCTATCTAGTTGATTTTATGACTGATCTGTGGAATCTGGAACACAGGGAGCAAGAGGGAGAGGGGCCATTAGAGGAATTGGCCAGGCAGTTTCCCCATGCCCAGAGGGACTGAACATCTAGCTGCGCGTGACAACCTGCCTGGGACTGGTTACAACAGATGGCCTGATAGTGCAGAAGACAGGTATCTCCTAAGGGCCTTCCAGGCAGGCTGGTGACAGCTCACTCACAGCGCTGCTGCCTGCCTAGATGGCCAGATTTTGCCAATGGTTGACTGTTGCCGGGGATCACACCCAGTCCGAGGTGAACTGTGTAACCCTGTGTAAATTTCAGGGAATTTCAGGCCCACCGACTAACAGACTTGTTTTGCCCTTCTAGGCAGCTTGGAGCTACAACTCACTGTCCACCTCGCTAAGTTCACTATATGCTTGGGGGGCCTCTGGCCTCTTATCACCCTACAGATAGTGTCGTCAGTGGGATGACGACAATTACTAGGAGAGACAGGTGGAACGAGTCACATGCCAGCCGACCACCAGCAAGATAAGCACAGCTGCTGGCCTTGACGGGTTCTATGTAATTATGGACTGTCTGTTCTAGCAGAATGCCAGCTTCTGGCAGGGGCCCAGAACGTTAGAGAACAGTGATGGGCTTGAAGGACCCGATGGTCAATAGCCTGGGGCTGTGATGAGCCGCTTGAGAAATGTCAGGCTGGCTCAGCCAATGGCAGGTGGCATGGAGACATAATTGTCCCTCTAGTTGCTATGGCTCTGCTCTGGGGGGCCTAGCTGGAGTGGTGTGCGTGGGGTGTAACCAATGGCAGCTTGTCCTGACCTAATCATAGCGTGCCTGCCTGAGGCCACAGCTGAGTGCAGGAGCTGAGAAGAGGATCTACCCAGTAGCTGGTTCCAGGGCGAGAGCAGAAGGCGTCGGGGGGACTGTTCGAGTGGCCTGCGACGACGGACGCGGACTAGACCGTCTGTGAGAACGACAGCCTGGCTAACAGCTGGGTGCCTGTGCCTCCAGGCAGTCGCAGCTGGCCCAGGACACAAACGGATGCTGCCTTGGACTCACAGAGGGTGTGAGGGAGGAGGGGGTCTGGCCAGACACCTGCCTGGGGTGACTGACCCATCATCTATTTGAATTGGGTGACCGACTGGGCAGCTGTCCGTGGCGCTGATCCATTTTGGGAGTCACGGCGTGCTTGGGGTTAAAATGTGATGACGGACTGACTGACGGAGGTAATTGGGGGTCTGACAAGACGGAGAATCCCCCGTACGACTGGCTGACAACGTGATTGGCTACCGGCGTGACAGACAGACCAACGAACGGGGCAGGGCCTCCGGCACCCTCAACTACTGCCGCCACCGCCCAGACGCACTCTGGGAAAGCGCGGCGAGCACCCGCCTCCGGGACCGAGCCGGAGAGCGGGGAGGGGTCCGGTCACGGCTCGCCGGTTGGTCCTCGCCGGTGCTGCTGGCGGCGATGCGTGGCCAATAGGCTGCGCGTTCCCGGCCACGCCCGCGCGAGCTCTCTTCTCGCGAGGCCGGCTAGGCCCGAATGTCGTTAGCCGTGGGGAAAGATGGCGGAAAATTTAAAAGGTGAAGCAGTGGTGGCAGAGGCGCGGGCTTGCTGGCCGGGCCGGGTGGGCTGGAGGGGTGGCGTCGCGGGCTCGGGCACCTGGCGTGTGAGGCCACGGAGCCCGGAGCCGGAAACCCGGCGCCGAAAGGAAGGGGGATCGGGGAGAGCGGGCCTGGCGCGCGGGGCTGGGCGGGGCTGAGGGGAGTGGGCGCGCGCCTCGGAACGCGGTGGCCGCGGGGCGCTGGGGAGGCGAGGGGGACGCGCGCCGCACAGCGCGACCGGAGTGGCGCGCGCACGCGCGGGGGCTTGTAGCCGGCGAGGGGCGCCTCGCCCGCGCGCGGGAAAATCGGCCCCCGGTGACCGTTACCCGCACGGTGTCCACGCGAGACGCCGGAAGGGGAGGGAAGAAGGGGATACGAATCCCCCCCTACCTTGGTGTCGGGAAGACAGGGAGTGGGTGATGGAGGAAAGCTCTGAGCCAGAGGCATCCCCCCAGCAGGAAGGCAATGGGGGGCCTCCTTTGGGGAAGAGCTGCGCTCCCCACCATGTGCAAGGAAAGCAGGGTGCCCATGTTAGGGTGCTGCCCTGTGTGCCTCCAGCTGTGAGGAGTCTGCGATCCACAAGTGGGAGGCGAACCTGTGCGGGACAGCAGAGCCCAGCTGTGGTCAGCGACTGGCATCCCTGGCAGGAGATGTTAGCTGGGACCACTTGCGGTGAGAAGAGTGGGTTTCACGTGCTTGCGAAGGGATTGCATCACAGGGATAGGAAAGCGTGGGCTTGGGCTCAGTCTCCACTAGGCCTCACCTAGAGGGTGGGGGGAGCCCATGGAATAATTACGAAAAGCTCCTGGAGATTTTTAGTTGTGACATCTAGGATGTTTCGTTATGGGTTTAAATAGGTTCAAGTTTTGGAACGGCAGGTAGCAAATATTAACCATTTTCGAAAGATGCAGTAGAACATGGTGTGATTATGCTGAAAGTGTTTTGTGATTTGATTTGATCAAATGGCTTTTAAGAGCATATTAATTAAGAATGTGCCTAGCATCAGAAAGATATTTGCGGAAATGCCCTGTTGCTGAAGGTAGCTTGGAGATGGTCTTGGTAGCCCCGGCAAACACTCCAGGTCTGTTTTTAAGAAGCAGTGTCTGATCTGTATGGCTTTACCTTGTTGCTGAATCCAGAGCATATCCAACATGAAGTTTCCACCTTGCACAAAAATGTGGATGAGGCAGAAAGTCAGGATGTGGTGTGGAAAAGACATACTTGTGGGTTGAAAGCTCCCAAACTAATCGCTCAGGGTAGCTGCTCGTAATATACAATCCTGTATTCACAATTTCAAAGTCTGAATGTGGAAAGCTTTGTCTGAAATTTGGCACCATTTGTAGCAAAAGAAGATAAGACAGGACTGTTCAGTGAAGGTATTGTATCTTTGTTTCAGTTGTTTGTGATGTGTGTGAATCTTTTGTACTACAGAAGCATTAATGCGTTGGATTATGGTTTGATGTCCCTGACCAGGCTGGAGGTGGGTGGCTGTGTGGGTGGCGTTTGAAGTGGATGAGCCATAACCTAGAGCTACACTTCTAATTTTAATTCAATTTAAAAAGCTAAATTCTAGAAACATCTGCCCAGGAGTTCCCAATGGGGATTGGGGACCATTCCTTCCAGTTAGGCCTTTGTTTAGTGACCTGGGGGCTTAATCCCATTTCCTCCCCACCCCACCCCCTTCCTGGGCAGTGCAACCACCTGAGATGGGGGTTTAAAGAGATGCAGAGATAAGGGTGATCGAGAATCTAAGTAGTTTAGGAATAGTGCAGAGGAAGTCTGAAGCCCCTGGGAAGAATCCGTTAGGACCATCCAGATAGCAATTGCCTCTTTTAACTTCACTGCCCCAGGGTTAGTGCTGGGCAATGAGCACCTGGGGTTAGCTGGAGGAGGAAGCCCAATGGAGTCAATTTCTCCCCAACCCTGTCTGGCTGTCCATAACAGTCCTTCCCACCCCCCTGTTGCAGGTTGCAGTGTGTGTTGCAAGTCTTCTTGGAATCAGCTGCAGGACCTGTGCCGCCTGGCCAAGCTCTCATGTCCTGCCCTGGGCATCTCTAAGAGAAACCTCTATGACTTTGAAGTCGAGTACCTGTGTGATTACAAGAAGATTCGAGTGAGTGTGTACTAATGAGGCCCTGGTGGGAGGGGGTGGGTTCCCCCCATCCAGCCCAACACACACACACACACACACTCTCTCTCTCTCTCTCTCTCTCTCTCTCTCTCTCTCTCTCTGCTGGTATTTATGAAATGGAATTTCTTCCTCCTGGTTCTAAAAATTGCATTGAGTAGATTCTCATTCCCGTTTTACAAGTAGGGAGACTCAACGCTTTCCGAGGGATAGTGGGAAACAGGAGACAGGGTGAATCACTAAAGAAATCCCTATTCCCACGACCTTAAGAAGGTAAAACCAATTGCAGAGACAGATGTTGAGCCCAGGAGCCCAGCTGATGCTAGCTAAGGTCCCTATGTGCTTTCAGGATGGCCCAATTCCTTGGGATCTTGCACACCCCAGGGGGAGACCAGGAAGAAGCTCCTGACTTTGGACCAGCCCAACTCTGGCTGTTGCAGCCTTTTGGGTAGTGAACCAGCAAATGGAAGATCTCTCTGTCTCTCCCTCTTTGTTAACTCTGTAACTCTTAAAAGGCCCAGAACTAACAAACTTGTATTTGAGTCTGGTTTATCTAAGTTCTCAGCACACTTTCCTCATCTGTAAAACCCGGATGACCAATAGCACCTACTTCATAGAGACTAGGGAGAATTAAGTTAGTAAATAGTCTTTACTTAGATTGTTTAGAACAATACCCACTACATGCATAATGACTGCCAGAGAGAATGTTAGTTCCTTTCCTATTTTATACCTAAGGAAGCTGCAGTGCAGTGCAGTGGAATTTCTTGCCTGAAGGTAGCCCAGGTAGCTAGGGAGCTGTGGGTTGAGGGTGTGGACCCGGGCTGTTTAACCTGCACCTGCTGTTGGCTGCTCCCCTCCAGCTGCCTCTCAGCACCCACAGCTCTCTCCCTGTGGCTGCTGTGTGGAGGGCAGGCTGTGGGCTGAGTGTGATGAGGGTTTAAACGGTTCAGAGTCTGGGTGGATTTTGAAGGTGAGGCTAGCAGGACGTGCCAAGACAGATGGATGTGGAGAATATGAGGAAAAGTGATCAGGAAGGAGCTGGCGAGAGGGAAGACAGAGGAGGGAGGAGATCTGAGAGATTCAAGGCCAACTTCAAATTGGGCTGAGTGGTAAGATGGTAAGGGGAAGGGCAGGGCTGGAACCCCATTTTCTTTCTCGCAAGCCCATCCCAGAAAAGGGGTGCGTTGGGTGTTCCCAGTCAGCTATGCATGGGAATACCACTGGGGGCCAGCCCAAAGGGCTTGCCGCTCACAGCGTCACTGTCCGGCCCACCCCTCCCCGCCTGCCCCCAACAGGAACAAGAGTACTACCTGGTAAAATGGCGCGGCTACCCAGACTCTGAGAGCACCTGGGAGCCCCGACAGAATCTCAAGTGTGTGCGCATCCTCAAGCAGTTCCACAAGGACTTGGAGAGGGAGCTGCTGCGGCGGCACCAGCGCTCAAAGCCACCCCGGCATCTGGACCCAAGCTTGGCCAACTACCTGGTGCAGAAAGCCAAGCAGAGACTGGCGCTTCAGCGCTGGGAGGAGGAGCTCAATGCCAAGCGCAGCCACCTGGGACGCATCACGGTGGAGAATGAGGTGGACCTCGATGGCCCCCCGCGGGCCTTTGTGTACATCAATGAGTACCGTGTTGGGGAGGGCATCACCCTCAACCAGGTAGCCGTGGGCTGTGAGTGCCAGGACTGTCTGTGGGCACCCACTGGTGGCTGCTGCCCTGGGGCATCACTGCACAAATTTGCCTACAACGACCAGGGTCAGGTGCGGCTGCGAGCTGGGCTGCCCATCTATGAGTGCAACTCCCGGTGCCGCTGTGGCTATGACTGCCCAAACCGCGTGGTGCAGAAGGGCATCCGCTATGACCTCTGCATCTTCCGCACAGACGATGGGCGTGGCTGGGGAGTACGCACGCTGGAGAAGATCCGCAAGAACAGCTTCGTCATGGAGTACGTGGGAGAGGTAGGGAGATGGGGTGTGTGTGTGTGTGTGTGTGTGTGTGTGTGTCTCTTACCCTGTGTCCGCAGTGTGCACCTTAAACTCCCTGCTTCCCCTGTGGCTAAGGCTGAGGCAGGGCAGGGCTACTATTCCATGCCAGTGACACCACAGCCCGCCTGGTCCTGCCAGCTGTTCAGAGAGCACTTAAAAATCCTTCCCAGTGGGGCGGGTTTCCTAGGGTCCCTAGCAAAGCAGAAGGGGAGGAACCAAGACACAGACAGCATGGCTTGGTGCCTGCCTGCACCACCTGAAAGGCACTTTCCCTTGTCTGGCTCTGGTCTGGCTTATTGCTGGACAGCTTGTGTTCCAAAAGAACCCCCTTCCTAGTGTGTCCGGAAGGGGCACAGGCAGAGTGGTGTTGGATAGCGACATTCCTTGCACATAGGCTACCTACTTCCTCCCCAATGCTTGCAGGACACGGGGCCATTATAGTTGTCCCCAAGGCCTTAGGGGCTGCATCCAATAGAAGTTTGTTTACCCGTGGAGCAGTCCTGTGTGACTGTGCTGCTGGGTGTCTTCTTGCATTGGGAGTCATTTGAGCAACCCTGAGTCTGCCAAGGTGACCCCCGCAAACCTCCTTATATCTCCGTAAGCCCCTTAGGGATGTGATAATGGCCGGGAAATGATGGGAACTGGCTTGAAGGTGTCCACACTGCAGTGACAACATATCCTACAGTGTCAACACCGGCAATGGAGAGGCTCCTGCGTGGAGGAGCCATGGAGTGGGGAGGCTGAAGCCCAGAGGGTAGAGAGACTCTTGAGGCACAGTACAGGGGAACAGTCTGGTACAGTTCCTCTCCCTCCCACCCCCCATAACTCTGCGAGTCTTCTGGAGGGAGTGCCCTCATGCCAAACAGTGGATATGACTGTCTATAGGAAGCAGGTAGCCACAGGCCAGGGAGCTTCTGACAGTATGAGAGGTCCCGATGGTGTGTGGGAAGAGGGGTCCATATCCACAGTGACCCCCAGCTTGAGCCCTCCACACTCTACGCGTCTCTGCTAGTCTGGTTTAGGAAATGTCCACACCTGTCCTGGTACTGGGGCCAGGGGACGAAAGCAGCTGCCTCATCCTGGAGGGATCTAGACGGGCTGGAGGAGACTGGGTCTAGACCTAAGAGCAAGCACCCTACCAGTTGGGCAGTAGTAGGGTATAGAGCCTGCAGGATGCTGCCAGGCCTGCAGGCCATCCTGAGCCTCCCTGAACTGGCATCTCGAAGGACAGCTATCTACACACTGGATCCTGGCAGCTGGGCGGAGGGGACCTTGCACTCCCCGACCCCCAGGCAGCCTCCCAGGGTGCTGGCCCTGCCACCCACCTGCTTGCTCCCCCTTAGTTGCCCTCGCTCCCTCTTTGAGCATTCCAGAGCCCTTGTCACACACTGCTCTTGCCCCCTCTGGTTATTTTCACATTCTCTTGTGCTATTTCTTGACCTCCCTCTTGACATGTTTGGTGACTTCCGGGCCCCCTCCACCTTGCCCCACCAAGACCTATGGGTCCTCATGATGGCCACAGGTTTCCAGGCTACACCAGAAGCAAAGTCATCCCACACCCCCACTGCTCCCCCTAGCCCCCACAAAGATGCAGTGCAGTGAAGCTGTTGAGCAGCCACATGCATACATTCGGGAGCCTGACTACCTCAGCTCAAATGCCAACCCCCTCCATGCATTAACAGTCGCTTGGCCTATTTGTATCTCAGTTTGCTAATCTAGAAAGTGGGACAGATAATAGCACCCACCTCCTACACTTGTTAGAAGCATTTAACAGGCTGTTACATGCCCATCCCTTGAACAACATTCAGAAGACAAACTTTAACGTAGTTGTTAACCGGTATGATCCGAAATTCAGAAAATCCAAATTGCCCAGAAAACCAAAGAATTTTCCTAACCCACCTGGTTTCAAAACTCAACTTGACCTTATAGGGCCTATTTGTAGTCTATTTATCCCTCTTGGGGTGAATATTAATAAATTTGGTTGTATAAATGCTAGTTTTCAAAAGGTTTACTGCTTTTTATTTGAAAGGCAGAGTTGGAGAGGGACAGATAAAGAGATCTTTCATCTGCTGGTTCACTCCCCAAATGCCTACAATGGCCAGAGCTGGGCTGGTCCAAAACCAGGAGCTTCTTCCTGATCTCTCCCACATGTGTGCAGGGTCCCAAGGACTTGGGCCATCCTCTGCTGCCTTCCCAGGCCACAAGCAAGGAGCTAGATCAGACATGGAGCAGCCAGTACTCAAACTGGCGCCCATATGGGATGCCAGTGGCACAGATGGAGACAGCCTACTAAGTCATGATGCTGACCCCTAAATACTGTTTGACCCGATTATGTGGTGCTGCTCAAGACACTCCATCCCCCACACCCACATGCCATGCTATCCTTCCACTTGGGAGGGGACACAGAGCATCTAGACGCAGCCCCGGGAGCTTTTCTTGCAGCCCTTCCACATTCGGTGGCTGTTTTCACATTCCTGCCCATCTCTCAGATATTCTCTTGATATTCTAACATGTCTGAAATGCAGGTGAGCTTTAGGGAATTTAATTAAACAGCAGGGTTTGATTTAGCTGGGAGCAGTCTGTCCTTTCCCTCGTTCCTGGCAAGGAGCACAGAAGAGAAGGGTGTCTACTCTTAGATTTCATAAACCCCTCCCATCATTGCTCGGGGTGTCCCCAGCACACCTTTCCTACCTGCAGTGCTGGCTGGGTTTCTGTCACTCTCATTCCCCTTCTGTAGATGAGAAGATGGAGAGGTGTAGTTACTTGGTGAGAGTCACAACACTAGGGAAGTAGGGGGAAAGAAAAAGGCCTGAGTATGTAAAGCTGTGGCTCTGTCAGGCCTGGTGGCTTTTCACGGAGTGGCAGGAGTAGGGTGGGGTGCATTAAGGAAACAGGCATAAGAGGAAGAACAGCCAGGATCCCTCAACGGGGCGGGGTGGGGGGAGGCAGAGCAGCAGCAGGCTTCCAGCCGGCTAGTTCCTGTTCCACATCAGCCCTTCAGCCCTCTCTCCCCACTGCCAGCTTAGAGCCCATTTCCCCCTAGCTCTCTGAAGAGCTGCTTGGGCACAGAGATGGGGTACCCGAAAAGAAGACTGGGAAGGAGGGAGCCGTTTGTGCCCTGGAGGGCTTGCTGGATGACTCACTCCTTGAGAGACTGGGGGAGCAGGTAGGGGCAGAACAGGTGGGCAAATGGAGGCTAGGGAGCAGGCAGGCATTCCCCCTGGCTTCTAGAAGGGCTGCTCACAACCTCCCATCCTGCCACCGAGCCAGCAGAGGCTTCCCTTTGATCCCAGGGGCTAGCAGGCCCGGGAAGGCCGCCCAGAGCAGGAAACATCTGAGCGACTCCCACAAGGAACACCATGTGCTCTCCCGGAGGTCCTGGGGAACTAGACCTTGAAAAACTCTGCCTCAGAATGCCTGTGTGGTTCTCAAGTGGTGTCCTTGAGGAGACAGCCCCCACTCCTGGAGCTGCTGTGACAGCTCTCTGAGGATCTACAGCTTGCTTGAGAGGAACTTGGCCCTTTTCCACTGGCTATCACACTCCGACCCTGAACACTCTATCCTGCCCACATGCCACACTCGCTGTGCTGTGTGCACTGTGTTGTGGGTGTCGGAGTCCATCTCTCCTGGAGCCCCTGAAGCTGAGTCTCACCCTCCCAGCTGGGACCTCTGCAGGCTGGCTTTATGTACACATAGGCTTCAAGCAAAGCACAATGGATGAATGAGTGAATGAACAAATGAATAAAAAGTGGGGCATGAAGGAGCCAGGGTTTCTGAACAAAGAGGTGGAGTGTGGGGCATGAAGGAGCCAGGGTTTCTGAACAAAGAGGTGGAGTGTGGGCCAGTGAGCCAAAAGGTGGAGATGGCAGGGTAGGCGGCCACGGATCCGAGGGCATCAGCATGCTTGCCGTGGCTCAAGAAGCCTGTTAGCAGGAGCTTGGTCCCCAGCCCCTGTGAAGAGAGTGCCACAGGAGAGTCCAGTCGATGCCACGAAAGTCTGTGTCCTGTGCTAGCATGGGGTGGGCAGAAGGTGCGCAGTGGATCTGCGACACAAAGAAAATGACAAAGAAAGAGATGTGGTGGAGAAGACTGTGAGCTGTCACCAGGACACAAGCCGCTGGGTCAGGAAGCAGAGTTACCGCACATCCACTGTATGCTGTGCTTTGTCCTGGTGCTGGCGGAGACGGGGAGGGCACTCCAGCGTGGGGAGGGGACAGTCCTGGGAACAGTGGGACCCTCAGCCTGAGCCAGGCCTTGACATTTGTACCCTTTAGGTCTGTCAAAGGCTGCAGTCACTGGTGCCGTGGGGGAGAAAGTGTGGATGGGGAGGGGCAGTTGGAGAATGTACTGGCAACATGTGGGAGACAGGACAGGTGGGCTGGTGTGGTGTGGTGGCTGCACTTTGGCTGGTACAGGCAGGACAGCTGGGGAGGAGGAGACATGGAGGGGAGGCCACCGCTGTCCTCGAGCTGCTGGTGCCAGCAGTGTGTGGCCAGCGGAGCTGTTAGCTGAACTCTCTTTTCCCTCTCCCCCACCCCTCCCCCGTTCACTGTGTGTCTTTAAGTTTTTGGCTTTAGCCTCTTGTTATCTTGGTCTCCAGAGCTCTTGGCCTTGGACTTCTTCCAGGAGTCTTGGTCTTCTCCCTGGATCCTGGGATCTCTTCTGCTAACATTCGGTCTGTTGTCTCTTCCCTTTGTGCCCCCGCCTCCCCTCTCCGCCGCCCCCTCCGTCCTGTGTTCTTTTTCTTCTCATTGCCCCTGTCCTTCTGGCCTTTTGCAAACACAAGCTATTCTGTATTTTGCCCTGGGTCAGCCTGACTTCATTGTGCCCCAGGTCTCTTTGCCTGTGTTCTGGCTCGCTCATGCTCTATCTTGCTGTCTCTCTCTCTCCTCCTCTCTCCTCCCTCTCCCCTGACATGCCCCTGCGCTCAGGGCCTCTTGCTCTGTCTCAAGAGTACAGGAAGTTCTGGGATGTCTCGCAGGCAGGAATGTTTCTTTTGTCCTCACTGGCTCTTATGCCAGCCTCTGGCTCATTGCAGGGCCCTTCATGCCGTCGGAGGCCTGAGGACACGCGGGCAGTGCCCTGAGAAGGCACCGCAGCCCGGCTGTGTTGGCAGCTGGCCTTCCTGAGCAGTGGTGACCCACCCTTCTCCACCTTGCTTTGCCCTTTCCCCAGATCATTACCTCAGAGGAGGCGGAGCGGAGGGGCCAGATCTATGACCGCCAGGGAGCCACCTACCTCTTCGACCTGGACTACGTGGAGGATGTATATACCGTGGATGCTGCCTATTATGGCAACATCTCCCACTTCGTCAACCATAGTGTGGGTACTCCCAGCAGGTGGGCTTGGGGCCAGGACTGGGCAGCCCGGGTGCCTCCTCACTTCTCCCCCCTCCCCGCTGTTCTTTCTTGTCCAGTGTGACCCCAACCTGCAGGTGTACAACGTCTTCATAGACAACCTCGATGAACGGCTTCCCCGCATCGCTTTCTTTGCCACAAGAACCATCCGGGCAGGCGAGGAACTCACCTTTGATTACAACATGCAAGGTGGGGGTAGCAAGGGACTGGGGGCAGAGGCACCCAGTATCATGGCACGTGAGGCTCACCCGTCACACAGAACCCATGGGAGATGCTTTAGCAGGAGCTCTTCACACAATGCACCCCATACTCTCAGGCTCCCATCTTGATTTCTGGATTCCTGCCTACCCCTTGTGGCTGTTTATTCCCACTCCTTCAACTGCACCCAGCCCAGAGACCCTCCAAAGGTCTTCCCTTAGCCTCCCCAGCAGCACTGTTACCCGCAAGCCTGCCCTACCCCTCACCCACCCTGGCCTTCCTCATTCCAAGCCTACAGCCTGAAGCCAGCCCTCTCTTCCATAATCTGTTCCCTTCTGCCACACCCAGGGCAGCTCCCTAGCAGGGGAGTCCATGCCCCAATCCCCACAGGCCCTCACTTGCTCCCAACAGTGCCTCCTGCACTGACCTGAACATCCCTGCCCCAGGGCTAAGCCATGGCCGGAACTCCAAACCACCAGACCTCAGACCCCTCCCACTTCAGGTCTCTGACTGCTCTCAGCCCCAGGATCCCAGGGTCTCATGGTAGAAGGGGTCATGGGACACTTCGCCTGGACCGTCTAACAACTTTCCTTTTCCCTCCCTACCTCCCTTCTCCCCCCACCCCATCCTGCCCGTCGGCGGCTCTGACTCCACAGTGGACCCCGTGGACATGGAGAGTACCCGCATGGACTCCAACTTTGGCCTGGCTGGGCTCCCTGGCTCCCCGAAGAAGCGAGTCCGTATTGAATGCAAGTGTGGGACTGAATCCTGCCGCAAATACCTCTTCTAGCCCTTGGAAGTCTGCGGCCAGATTGCCGGAGGCCTAAAGCTGTCTGCTCCTTGCCCATTGCTGCCCTTCCTGGCCGTGGGGAACAGCTGCCAGGGCTTTGCCTGCCTCCACCTGTCCCCCACCTCCCGCCACCTGCTCTAGGGGCGGGCCTACAGGGAGGACTGACTCCAGGAGTCCCTTTCCCTGGCCCAGTCCCATCTGTGGGTTGCACTTACAAGCCCCTGCCCACCTCCAGAAGTCAGTTTTTGACGGCAGGGGTTTCTGCAGTCGGGATTCATGGAAACCTCCACTGGAGGTCTGAGGGGGTAAGCTGCAGCCCAGCTTTCCTCTCCCCCTAGAAAAGCTGTTTGTTTTTGCACCTGCTTCTGTCTGAAGGCTGAGGCATCTGTTGCAGGCCTCCGCCCTAGTGCCCCCGGGCAGCCTTCCTCCCCTCCTCCCCTGATATGAAGCTACTTCCTCGCCACCGCCACTGCAGAAGCTATCCCTAATGAAAGAAGGGGGACTCGTTCCGTTTCCCACACTGCCACATGTTGGCCCAGAGAGCTGTACAGGGGCCATGCAGCTTGAAACGTGGACCCCCTCCATGCGTACACACACACGCCTATGGAAGGCGAGTGGGTGCTGGCGGCCCACTGACTGGTGAGAGGAAGGCAGCCCAGATGCTGCCAGCCCTGACAGTGGGCTGCACCAAGCTCTCTGCTTTCTGGAGAGTACAGAGGAGCTGCCCTGGGGCACGATGTCTGCTGGAACTGCTTGGAGCTGGAAGCAAGAGCTAGATAATCTGTAGATAGCACTTAGGACAATGTGCATTGTTGGGGGGGCAGGGGGCAGGGCAGAGGTGCCAGGCAATGGGGAGAGCACCTGGTCCACGTGGATTGTCTCAGGGAAGCCTTGAAAACCACGGAGGTGGATCCCAGGAAAGAGCCCATTGGTTACAAGGTGAAGTACATGCCCGGGGGTGGAAGAGGAAGGGAACATAGTCAGTAGGCTATGGTGGGGTGAGAGGAAAGTTCCTGCCAGCCCCGACTATCTGTGTTCACTGTAGGCCCACTGGTCTCTGAAGTTAGCTGCCTACAAATGTACAAAAGGCCAAGGTTCGGTTGCCTGCCTCGCCCCCTGCCCCCTGAGCCTGTGGGATCTCCCCTAGGAAGCCTTTTCCTGACTACCTGTGCCCAGAATGCCCCTCCATGAGACCGTACACTCTGCTCTCAAGATGCCAGGTCTGTGCGTGTGTCTGTCTTGCCTCTCCCTGCTCCTTAGACCTTCAGGCATGGACTGCCCCTGCTTCTGGTGTGTATCCCCCAGCCCTACTACTCAGCTTGGAGTAGGCATCAATAAAGTGAAATGTTGACCGCAAAAGGCCTAGTAAACAGGACTGGGGATGGGAGGGGATGGGGAGAAGAAAGGCTGGGAACCGGGGGTCCTTAAACCTCACCCATCCAACCCTAACCCTCCTCCATTTCAGCCCACACGGTATGTTCCCTGTACCATCTACATGACATCTTGTCCTAATGTAAACTTGGCTGATTCTGTAATGTGTACGGATACTCAAATCTAAGCCTGTCACTGTCCAGTTAGACAAACCATCATCACCCAACATGACCAAACCAAAATAACAAAGCAGAGGAAGGGCCATGGGGGAGATGCAGTGATGTACAAAACCCTAGCTGGCCTCCTGCTGTTCCTTGGCATTCCTTGAGCCTCTGCCCTTGCAGCCTGCCGACAATACTCAAAGGGAAAGGCCTGTTCAAAACTTCCACAGATATTTACCAAGCACCTGATGTGGGTGGGCTCAAGTGTAAACAGAGAACAAAGGTACAGTGTTGCAAAAATACTTGCCTGTCATCTTCCCTCAGCCTGAAGGTGAGGCTGTGGTCTTGGGTTTTGCTCAGAGGCAAAAAACCCAAACATCCCAAAGACCTCATATCCTGAGACAAAGATCCATCCCCAAATTCCCAGCGCATGCACACACAGGCATGCATGCACGGGGCAAGCTGGGACTCGGGCCTCCAGATGGCTCCTACACCTTGGACCTGGAACACTGACCCCACACCTTTTGGAGACCTCATACTCTGAGGCAGACCTCAGGTAACAGCCAGGCTTCCAGGAAATGGCTACAAGCACCCAAACTGGCATTTGGACCAAAAAAGGCTTTCCTCGTGCAGTGGAGGTAGAGACCTAACAACCTGGGAGGCCACCATGCACACTCGCCACAGCAAGTGTGACTCCCATGCTGCCTGGGCTAGCCCTCTCTCCCTGCCCGAGCAGCGGAGCCTGCCCAGCCGGAACTAGGTCCTGTTGGAACCCCCTGAGAGCCCTAACACTCTGAGCCAGATGACTGAGGGCCCCTGAGCAGTACGGTGGGCAGCCCCTAGACCCCACTCCCTCTAGCATGCAGTGCCACAGGCCCCAGAGCAGCCCAACTCGGAGGATTGACACCGTTGGGGACAGACCTCTAGCCTGCACTTTCTGACAGGTTTTGAACAGCTCTGAGTCATGGCAGCCAAGGAATAGGCAGCCAGTGCTTTGTAACACACATGCACACACAACTCAGGGGGCTCACAGTCTGGGGAATGCCAAAAAGCTCAGAGTTCAAGCCAAGATTCAGTAATTTCTCAGTGGATGCACAAACTGGGACCAAGATGGGCCAAGAGTTTGCAGAGCTTGCACCCTCAGCACCACATGAGAAAGCTCTGGAATCACTGCCTCAGGACTGAGGGCCCTAACTTGCTGCAGAGCTGCCACCCCTAGCATGCAGCTCCCTGTTCAGAGGTGTCATATACAGGACAGTTTTTCCTCACGTAGCTCACAGCTGCTGTATGCTGAGACATGGCCCCAAGCAGCTCAGAAGCCTCACCCAGGGGTTCCCTGAAGAGCTCGGAGACCTGAAACTCTGGACTCCAATCCCTTAGGACACCTTGCACTCCTGCCTGCAGTAACTCGGGTCATATGGTCCGAGCATAACCCCCAAACAGCTTTGACATGTCCTGCCCTAGGCTTAGATTCCCCAGGTGGCTCAAAATCTTCCTACTTTAAGCTGGATCATTAGAGGACTCTGAAATACCACACCCTTGAAACCATTTGTGGAATCTGAACTTTGGGCTCATGTCCACAAAGACTTCTGATAGCTAACAATCACAGACCCAGATTAATTCACACTCCCAGCCAAACGGGCCACAAACAGCAGTTCAGTCCTTGTGGTTTTGTTGGTGGTGGTTTGTCTGTTTTTTTTATTATTTTTACCTGAAAGTTGCACAGAGGGAGAGAAAGAAGTCTTGCACCCAATGATTCACTCCCCAAATGGCTGCAATAACTAAAGCTGGGCTGGTCAGAAACCAGGAGCTTCCTCCCAGGTCTCCCTTATGGGTGCAGGGTCCAAGGACTTTAGGCCATCCTCCACTGCTTTGCCAGACTATAAGCAGGGAGCTGGATTGGAAGTGTAGCACTGGGATTTGAACCTGTACCCATATGGGATGCCATCACACCAGGTGGAGGCTTAATCTATGCCACAGCACCAGCTGCAGAGTTAGACAACTGTCTACCCTATGACACAGAGCTCCAAACAGCTCAGTGACCTAATATCCTGGATAGAAACCCTCAAACATTTCAGAAACATTAGAAACTGATGCGAGAACCCTATACTGCCCAGAGACTTCAAACCCTGAAAACAGACTCCCTAATGAGTCAGACGCCTACCCAGGAAATGAGGCTTCCCAAAAGGAGTTACCTCATCCTTGGGAACAATCCGACAGTTGAAAGACACAATGACCAGAGACCCATCAAACCTTAGAGACCTTAAACCTGGGATGTGGGGGGGAAATACTTCACAGCTGAAAATGTTTTCTAAGCAGGTGGAGGAACTCAGAAACCAAGCAGGGTTAGGGATCATGTGAAGTAGGACTCGGACAAACCACAGAGAATAAGCTAGGGGCTCTCCCCACCACCCCAAAATGTAGATCAGAAAGTGCTCAGACCCCTCAAATTATGGGATTCAAGAAATCCTTCTGAAACTTGGGGTATTGACGCCCCGCCCCCAATATAATTCACAGAATGAATATGCTGGATGCAAAACATGAAATAACTCAGAGACCAGAAATTGTGGGGGCTCACTTCCCACCCCCAACAGATGAGATATGTCACATCCTAGATGTGAGGCCAGCAGTGGCTCAGGGAGCTGGGCTGCTGTGACACACACAGCTTAGATGACTCAGCTTCTCAGGAGCTCGTGGCCGGGGACCTGAGGCCGTGCATCCTGTAACACCCAGGAAGATCCAAAACACCATGCAAGGCAACACAGATGCTCATGGCCACTTCAGAGATGTAACAGCCCACACACCAATCCTCAACCTCCATTCCCGGGGACCCACACCCACAAACAGATCTGAGTTGTCACACTCCAGGCCATGATGACCCCCTGCCTGCTGGGGTTCCAGGAAGAATGTGGTATCAGGCCCACAGGAAGGTCATACGCATGTTGCTTGGGATGTGCACGCATGCGTAAGGACAGTATGTGAGGAGAAACCCTGAGCTGAGCTCTCAACCTCCACCATGATTCACTCATCACTGCCAGGTGAGTGAATCACAAGCTCAACAGCACAGCCAGAAATGGGCAGGGGCTCTCCCAGCCATGTCACAGGCTCATGAAGAAAGACCAGCAAGCACACACCTCCACCCCATCCCACTGCATGGGGGAACCAACCCTTACACATCCAGGGAGCTTATCGCGTTGACACACCTACCCACAAACAAAGCAGAGCTCTCCAGCCCTCTAACGCAGTCACAGTCACGTCGGCAACCTCACAAGCCAGGCAGACACCAGGGACTGATCACAGACTGATCACAGACCCATAAAGACCTCCGATCACACGCCAGCACACATGCCAGACACCTTCACCATCAGACATGCACACATACATACACACACCGCAGGGACAAACACTTCGTCAGATGTAAACCACAAACAGGTGATACACTTCAGAAACTGAGACATGTAACAACACACGGAATGGGTCCTACATCCTTGAGTCGCACACGTGCATGCTGTGACAGACTCAAACAAGCTGGGACCTCAAATTCCATAACTTACAACTGCAAACAGGTTAGACACCTTACATGAGCACAGAGGCATGGCATATTTTTTCAAAAGGTTTATTTTTATTGGAAAGGCAGATTTACAGAGAGATGGAGAGAAAGATCTTCCACCCACTGGTTCACTCCTCAAATGGCCTCAATAGTTGGAGCTGAGCCAATCCGAAGCCAGGAGCCAGGAGCCAGGAGCCTCTTCTGGTTTCCCATGCAGGTACAGGGTCCCAAAGCTTTGTGCTATCCTCTACTGCTTTCCCAGGTCACAAGCAGGGAGCTGGATGGGAAGTAGAGCAGCTAGGACACAAACTGGCATCCATATGGGATGCTGACTCTTGCAGGT